CCGTTGATCCTTTGCGAAGGGCGAAAACGTTGCGACAATTACGCGTTACAGAATATATTTTGGAACGGATACATTCGCAGAGACGTAGAGCAACGCTAAAAAATATTTGAACGAGTCGGTTTCAAAGATCCAAGGTTATTGACATTTTTTTTTAGCGACAGTGTATTATATATTAATATTTCTTTTTCAATGTTAAAATACCAGTACCTTAAAGTTCAAATAATTATCATTGATCAGAATTTCAGTACAGTAGGTAATGCCCAAAATATTTGTTTCTAGTTTTACGTATTAAAATTTTTAAGGACTACTCGTATTATTGTGATTACGAATATCCATGGTAATTGGTATAGCATAATGTGAGTCCTTTTTTTTGCTTTCGATGCGCGACTTCGTCTGAAATATTCACATAATCAAAATATCATAATTTTGCAGGCTGTTGTTTCATTTATAACAACTCTCATTACTGAATTGTCACGGCATTTAAATGATTGATGATAACACATTCTACTAACCAAGTATACAAAACTGCAAGGAATTAATATGCATTCAAAGATATGAAAATATGAATGGCACTAATACTTTATTTCATCATTCTAAATATATCGCCATATGGTTACAGTGGCATGTAAGGGTTCAGAAGCATTTCTTCAACGTGACTCCGGAGTCCAAGTTCAGTCTTTATAACTGCCATATCAGCTCTCATGACAGTACGTGTCATTAAACAAAGAACTCTAGAAAATAAAGTAACTCGTTATTGTAATTTGTATTATGTAATAGTCATGTTTGTTAAGTTATGGTTGCATGAGTCATGGCGTACGCTTCGAATAACAAGGTGTTACATAAACTTTAAACAGAGTTTGCTTTATTTTACATTTTTGTGGCACAACGGTACCGGAGTATGCTTTTTTGTTACGAGAATAAACTTATTACATAATTTGAGAAATTTCTATTTGACTAACGCAGTCTATACGCTGTCGACACACGATGTTTGAAAAATGTACTCTCTCTTGATCTTTCCAAATGAGTGGCTCGTATGTCCTACAGCCTCGCAAGTTTTAGAATTTTTTCAATTTCCGACTCGAGGATCATCCCTCGTGAGTCGAGGTTCGTTTACACAAAATTTTACGGTATACAAATATACGGTATATTTATCTCCGCTGCCAGAATCTCAGAAGATCGATAAACTCTACGAAATCAGCTCGCACGTCGTTCCAACCACCCCCAAATTTTAACGAATCGTAACGTCCCCTGTCTGCAATTCGTCAAAATATACGGATGAAACAAATACACAAACGTTTAAGGTTACCCCGATTCCGTGTTGCTGCAAGAAACGGCAGTGCGTGCACTCGAGGATCGGCAAAAAGGGGGAGAGCAAGGAGTGCGGAGGAAACGACTCGTGCGCTGTCGTGGTTTTTTGAGTGTTCCCGAAATATCCTCGTGCCCTGGTGCACGGGGGGAGAGAGATAAAGCGGGAGGATAGAGAGGGAGAGAGTAAGTTTAAGTCGTAGAAGAGAAAGAGACGAGATGGGAATGCCAGTCTTCGGTAACTAGTCATTCTAGCAACGTGCCTTTGCGGTTTCTCGCCGGTGACAAAGGTCACCAGGAGAAGAAGAAAGACTTTGTGCTGGTCGATCGTGGCTGACACGTGCTCCTCGCGACTCACGGGAAAAGTCACGACATTGGGGTGTGTTCGATCGACGTGGAGGACGATACTCTAAAATTACATATCTTTCTAAAACAAAACAAAAAAACTACGGCGGCTTTTAATTTGACTCGTGATCGATGAGAAAGCTAGAAACTCGAGTCCCGTGACTGTGTGTAAAGATTAAAAGTGGTTCGCGAGATTTTCTCGTAAAAGCACATAAACAGTGGGTGATAAACGGGTGATTTCGCGAGGCCCCGAGATCGACACCCAGGATTGAAACGCGAGCAATCTCGAATATTACCCTCGGCGTAATATTCTTGAGTCGACCATTCCGGGAGACGTGGTCGATGCTCATCGGTTAGAAACGTTTTTGAGGATGCCTTTGAAGATCGAGACTGGCACCTACACGGTGAACCCAGTGACCAAAAAAAATGTTTCGAAGTTTTTGTTATGGAAACACTGGCGTAGGAGGTACGACAGTTATTTCTCAGTCATCATCGATTTAAAAATAGGATTTGGTTTCTCAATCGATGACCACTTCAATTGCTACTTATAAACCCGAGAAATTAATCGTCAAAATAAAGCGTCTCGTGTAACTAATAAATTTCAATAAGATTCAACTATAATGTGTATTTTTTGATGGTCAGAACACGAAAGTTAATCCTGTAAGCAAACTTTACGGACGTTGGTCTGGCACTCAATGCGTTGACGACAAGGATTCTCGTGATACTTTGACATTCTCTAGAGGTCTCCTAGTTTCATTCATTCCTACGCATGCGCGACCACATTCATCATCGTCGCGTTCACGATCAAGCATGAATCGATCACCTTGCACTGTTCTTCGCATACCTCCGCTTCGTTTGCACGCCACATGCAACGCCCTCTTATTAATCTGCAACCCCCACAAATACGATGAATTTATGCTCTAAGATCTGCACCTAGGAAGACCTTATGGACCTTCCAAGAAAATTTGTACAGTACATCGAAAAATGAAAATACGAACCTGTTTGCTCGAACAGCGTGATCGGTATATGATACCAAGCGTGTGTACACTAACAGACCAAACGTTAACGAGGAGATTGAAAATTTTGTTTTATGTGAAGTAGTCGCTGCGTGATTCGTGTAACGATTGGAGTTGTCCAAGTAGTCACGAACAGTAATGTTCGACCAATTTTCTAATTGAAATACTTCTACGATGCTGAATATACAGTTGATCGCGACAAATGCATCAAAAAGACAATATATATTTTGTCTGCGTGTGTCTATTACTATTTGAACGTCTCTAACATTAGTGTCCTATGTGAAAAATGTAAAATGTCCGAATGTAGTGTAAAGCATCCAATTAATCACCGTATGGCGTGGTACCTAATTAATACGAATTTGGAAGGGATCGATTCGATCGTTGGCGACCTGTACGATAATACCGATATTCCTCTTTGTGCACAGATGGCCTCACATATTTCCTTAATGCATGCAAATTCTCGGAGTGAATTGCACTCGGACTGATGCACCAGCTTTGCACACTGGCTTGCGATCGTGCGCAGCTGTGGATTAGCTGCTCTCACGATTATCGTGCAATTAGTGCAGCATTAGTTGGGTCGAAATAATTAAGGAGACTATTAGAAAACGATCGCAAATAGCGATGGAACTCGAATTTTTTCAGTGTATCTACCTAACGTTTCGATTGATCATGGAAGCTTCGAATCATCATCGATGCTTTAAATCATTCTCGGACGCGTACCGTTTTCATCGCTATTTACAGGCACGTCGAAGCTTGCTGTAAAATGTTAGTTTTTGCGGTGCGAAGAAAAACGTGGAGGCTCGCGCTGTGTACTAACAGAACAGTCGATTTATTGCGTCCGTCTCATCTGCGTTCCGCCACCGGGACGAATCGTAAAATTAGATCTACGTGGGTTGAGTTTACGCGACGGTTATTTGCTTTTTAAAGTCGCGGCAACGAGACCGCTCTTGTTCCGTGATTCATGATGATGGAACAAGTGTTTGCTCAGTCGCTGACACGATTGTACGCGAAATTGTCGGGGCGTGCGGATCACGAGCCGCGGGACGGGTTTCACGAGAGGTTACTTTCGGAATACCACTAGATTCAAATTGTAAATCCACCACTCCGTTCGTCATGATAGGTCTTCGTTTTGGAAATAAAATTTGAAAATGTTTCGTGCTACTAGTAGTGTAGTTACAGGATTAAAAGTAATTGAAGGAAATTGTAGCTGTAGTGGTAAAGTATTCAACTGCAAATCCCAATGACCTGTGTTCGATCCCCAGATACTGTTGGTGGATTTTTCTTCTCATTGTTAAGCAGTTTTATCAATAATATAGCAATACAATTTGTGTTTCTTATAATAATATTGTAAGAAGTTTCTTACAATTATAGTACATTATAATAGAGAACATCTTAATACAATACCAGATTGTATAACATATTCAGATACCAGTACATTAACATATCAATACTAGAGTAGACTAGTTCCATTTTAAATAGCAATGAAAAATGTTCTTAACATTAATAAACAATATATTTGTATTGTAATATACAATGTAAGGAAATAAGTATACAATGTATAATAGTATAAAACGGAGGATTTGTAATGCTAGTTATGTATTGCAATTTGCACCTACTGGTATTCTGATAATGATTTCCACTTCCAAATTCAATCCACTCCAATCCAATCCACTTGATTGTACTATTATTATTGGGATAACTTGGATAATAACCGAGCAATATTCGCTAATCATCGTGCGATATATTAAATTTCATCAACGTCGATATCAGGAAGAAATCAATGATTATTTTATTACTAATTAAAAGGTAACGTGAAAGTTTATGACGAGATTAAATTATCGACGAGAACACAGCACTAGCTTCCAATTAACGTACACGATGCTCTCGAGATGTTCGATCGGCAAAAACTAAATCCACCTGTCTCGGTGCGGTTTTCAAAGAGAGAACAAAACTGCTGGAACAAGTCGAGCTCGTCGATGCTGTATCGTTCCGCTTTCACGTTGTTGCAATTCCACCGTACTTCTATATGCAGATCGTTTTTCCGCTCGAAGATACGGAAAATTGCTGTTCGGTAATAGATCGTGATCCTTTCTCCGAATTCAAGCATGAAATCATTCGATCGTTCAGCTTTTGCCACGAATTCAGCCAACTGCTCGAGAGCATCGAGGCATCGCAGACCTAATTCCGTGACATGATTGCATCGATTGTCATTCAAATTGTTCCCGTCATTGACATGACGAACAATCATGAAAAAAATTGAATAATCGGTCGGTAAAGATAAAAATAAAAAAGTATAAAGAAAACCGCGGAACAAAAAGAAACGAAAATCAACAGTGTGCACGAGGACCGCGGGGACGAGGATCGTCGACGAGCCAGCGGGCAAACACGTGGTGGCGGTGAGGTAGCGGGCCTAGAAGACATCGGCGACTTTTGCGCCGCGACGCTGACGCCGTCGGTCCCAGGCGCCGGCGGCATCAGGTCAAATCGCCGTACGAGGCCGCTTTCCCTCGCGGTGCAACCTCTTAATTACCGTCGCCTCGATCCGGATCCGAAAATCGCAACCGACACCGTCTCCAGCCATCATCCTAACATGACTAGCCAGGAGAGCATCGGCAGCTGCAGCCTGGACGTCGACCAGTCCGCGTCCGACCGATCAGGTTGGCTATCCCCGATGTGTAGCGTTTTCACGGGAAATAGGGACGCTGGGACAGAATATATTGGCCATTTAAGGTCGCTTTTCGGCTATTCCCACCGCATCGTTTGACCGAGAAGTCCAAAGATGCGTTACTGTTCGTCAGAGTTGAGCGTTTCGATTAAATATTTGTCTAGACGATTATCTTTTTATGGTTTTCGTCCGTGTAATTTATCCAGACGATCTGTGTGGCATTTCTGTGTGGTACATTTTTCTATGGATTATGTAACTTTTGTGCTATATTTGATTTTTATGCTATTTGTGTCGTATTTATATTTTTGCGTGAAATGCGATTTTGGTGCTGTTTATGTAGTTATATTTATGTACAGAGCAGAAATTTCTATACAAAACTCATCGATGCAAAAATCACACATTCCACGCAAAAATACAAGTGCCACAGAAAAACTACATACAACGAACGTAACATTACAACCTATCGGATTGTTTTCTCAAAGCGTTCAACGAATAAAAAACGAATAAAATAGTTGCGTTTTGCCCCTTGAAACCGAGTAACTTTTCTACTTCACATTTTTCGCGAAAATGTGTTATTCTCGAGATATTTAGATTCAATTGATTCCAGAACTTATAAATTATTATAAATTCATGACAGTTTAAGATATTCTCAATTAATTGTTACGTATTTATAGCTAAAGAAGCGTTGATTCAAGTATGACAATTATAATTTACGTACCTTTATTGAATTTTTCGGTAGAATAAGTTCAAGTAACAAAACTTACTTTTCCTTATCTAAATCACAAAATGTTGGGTAACCAGGGAACGCTTTACTAAATATAGAAGGTATTTGGCCATCCCTGGAAAAATTTTAATGGGAGATTCCAGAGGCCAAAATAAGACGAAAATCAATTTCTTGATTGAGGTTTCGTTAAAAAGTTATTAAAAAATTAAATAAAAAATTTCAAATTATTCTGGGAAAAAATTATTTTCGGTTGCGGGGTTCAATTACAATCATTTTTGGTCAATAGACATATCCCCGAAATCCTACGCACTTTCGAGAAAAAAATTCCGTACCGAAAATCTAATGTGAGGCCAGAAATGGTTGGAAGCCTCAATCAGCAAATTAGTATTCTTGATTGTCGTCTTATTTTGGCCTCTAGAATCTCCCATTAAAATTTTTCCCAGCCGAACACCCTGTACATTAATCATTTTCAAATAGGAAAATTTTAAAATCCTTTGTAACAATTTAGCCCCACTCTCCTCTACTCATCACAGATATCGCTCGACAAAGGTGTCGAGTATGCTTCCGGTTGCTATATTTATTCCAGCAACTATGTGTTTTACGCCGAAAAGACGGAAATCCCAAAACCTACAAACACACTTCTTTGCCTCTCAAGTTAAACATGGAAGCTGGGGAAGAACGGTCAAAGGAGTGGGCGGCCGATATCTTCTGTCCCGAGTGTGGACTGTGCTCGGTGCAAGGAATCGAGAACTAATCGAGCATCAGAAACTAGAGTTTCTCGGTTTCAAGGGTACGACGGGAGTTTCGATCAACGGAATTCCGGGGTCGTTGAGTAACCTTGCACTTGACGTTCGGAAGGTCGCGCGTAAAGACGCGTTCACCAACTCTCGCGCAGAATTTCAGCCGTCACGATCTTGGTAACGTCCAAGGTCACCGATCCTTCCAGCATCCCGTGGATCGGTCGTTTTTGCTCGGTGCCGATCGAATTTAGATCGCGAGCACGTGCAGTGCTTCTTTCCATCGTCAGTGCCAAGAAGACGAGGAGATGCAGAGGCACGTTTGTCTCTTTTGCATCGCGGCTCGGCCGGCCTCTTGCTGTTCCAAGGTTATTCCTGCGTCGCGTTTCAATAGTTTCCTCCGTCTTCTGGCCGCGAACATCGATGATACGTTACGGGTCGTTCGACCAAGAAAACTTCGAAGCGATCCACGTGTGCGCGAAGTGTTGCGGTCGCCATTGCGTGCTATCGAGACTTCGTATCCAATCTCAGAATTCAGGAACTAAGAGTCAGGGTTAAAGAGAGTAGTGAAGGAAGGAGTAGGCATTGTTAAAGTTTAGAGAGCAAAACTCCAACGGAGGATTTTGCTTTACAGAGATCACCGTAGACTCTATATCGAAGAAGACTCTGCACAGCCTGAATCTATCGTGCAACGGTGACTCCATATCTTCTCCCGGGAATCTGGCAAACGGCAGCAGCGAGACGCTGCAAAAGTCCCACCTGACACCGGATGAGAAATTGAACGTCAGCAATGGTCATCGAGGCAGCCCCGAGCCAGACCAGCTGACAGTGAAGAAACCGAGTTATTTGGGCCTGGCCTGTAGCATCAGCGGCTATTCGGGAATCAATAGGTACGACAGCAAGCTGAGAGAAGGGTTTCGATCGAGGGACAACAGTCCTGGGGCGAGGCTGATCACGAGAGACACCAGCCCAGCAGGTTTCAGGTAACAACCGCTTCGAACGAGTAATACTCTGCTACTTTGTTGCTTAACGTTGCGGCAAAGACAACATTGTTGCCGGACAGTTTTCTTCTCTTTCGTTATTCGAGCTCTGCGGAACAGGTTATTTCACGCAGAGGAAAAAGCGAACGTTACAAACGTTTCCCCCTAAGGTCGTTAATCGTTGGAACCTTCCAGATCGAACGAGAACCTCAACGTGCCGGCGCATTCCTATCCGCCCAAGAGTCAGTCGATCTCGCCGTTAGCGATGGACAGACAAAACGGTTTCTCGAACGGTTTGAAGGAGGAGTGCAAAGTAGAGGCCTACAGGGAGTCCAGAAGCTCCATTAGTATTTGTCAGGGTTACTCGGAGGTCGACAAAGGCGTCATGCATTCGCAGTTCTCGGACATCAGTCCAATTCGATCCAACACACCCGCGAAACGCAACCCCGGGATGTCGCAGATGATGTCCTGTAGTCGACAGAACAAAACGTTCTCGTCCCATTTGTCAGCATCGTCTCCAAAGCAAGCTACTGTCAATAGTAAGCGTCTTCGTCGGTCAATCTGTTCTTCAGCAACAGTTCCATCGAGGAACACGAATTAATACGCATTTTTCCAATCGTTTGCAGTTTCGAATAGTTCGTTTAGCGAAACGAGTATATTAAACGGATCGGCAGAGGTGGATAGCCAGGTTTTAAATAGTTCGTCGAACAGCGAGAAATCGTTCATTCAGCAACGAGTGGAACGGCTCTACGGCCCCGGGGCACTCGCCCAGGGCTTTTTCTTCAAACGCAGCACCAGCAGACTGAACGACAGCAACAATAGCTTCAACAAGTCGAGCAACAACAACGACGTCTCGGCGGACAACGCGAACACGGAGGAGTCCCTGAAGAATCTGCCGGTGATGAGACATTTGAGACCAGAGTTTCGAGCTCAACTCCCGGTGGTCAGCCCTAGGAGACCCACGGACGGTTCGGAACAAATCCTAAAGCCATTACAAAGGTAAATTGATTGGAATTATTGCATTTGTGGTTCTACGATCTCGTGTCTTGTCTGATCGCCAGGGTAACACCAGTTTCGCAAAAGGCCGATCAGAAACCAAAAATACTGACGCCTTTGAACTTAGACAGAAGCATCGCGGAAAGCAAAACGCAGAAGTTGAATTCTAGCACGGCCAGCATTCCGGATCAGCAGCCGGCTGCACCAAAGGTTGTCTTACCTGTCCTAGAGCCGAGCGCCAGCTCGACGAACGTGGCCAAGCAGGCTCAGGAGGCTGAAAAAGACGAGGAAAAGGACGGGCATTACTTCCTGAAAGTATGCATTTCATTTGATTTCACTTTTTTTCAATTACGGGAAAGTTATCAACGGTGACACGTTAAACGTAACAGCATACAGTATCGGTTAATAAATTATAAAAATAGAATAGCGAAGCGATTCGTTAAAAAAAATAGTTATGTACAAATTATCGCAATAAAATAATTGTAGGTTGCTTACTACCTTCAACAAAAATAAAAGTACTTGCAGTAGCTATAGATTCGAGTACTCTGTTTTATCCAACTACCTCGTTTTATTCAATCTTCTCCTATGTAAGAATCTTTAATCGAACAGATAGAAAAATGGATAAGAAGTTGTCAATTCGCGCGGACAAAACTTTTGACGCGCTCGGTACGATCGTTACAGACCAAGCAATTTACAAAGATTCCCTTGAACATGGTTTCAGCTCCTTAAACAGGAAACAGACAGGCTTCTCTCGTTGGCTGCGTCAACGGAAGCGGAGCTGACCAACAGCGATAGTGTTGCACTTCCGGAAGAGGCAGCTGGCAAACTGCGTTCGGTCGCTGGCAAGGCCAGGTTACTCGCTTCCCAAAAGATGCAGCAGTTCGAGGGGCTCTGCCAGAAAAACATCGTAAGTTATCTCGTTTACTGTTCGCGATGACGTACGCTGATCAGTGGAAAAAATTCGTTTAGGTTTCTGGGACCGTTTATTATTCTATTGCAGAACCAGGTACCGGGCGAAGAGTTTCCAACGACCAACGAGGATCTGGCTGGCTTCTGGGACATGGTGATGCTGCAGGTGGTGCAAGTAAACGAGCTCTTCAATCAGATCGAAAAGTTACGAAATTCTCAGTGGCAAGAGGTATGTGCAGATTTCATTAGCCTAGAGACACCCCCTCCTCTGAAGCGTCCTAAGAGAACATTTCACTCGCGAGAGAGACTCGACGAGACGGAGCCAATAGAACCATCTTGCGAACGTTTTGTTAACGTCAAACATGTTCGATTCAATGATTCCACGTTTAAAGAATCTGAGGAACCGATTCGTTCGAGCGCACGAAACCGATCGGTTCGTGCGTCTGGAAACTATTCGTTCGAGACTCGTCTATGCGACGATGCGTTTCGTGTTTTGACCCAACCGCAGTGCGTAGAAATCGATGAGAAATTCGAAGACAGTCAACCGTTTCTTTTCGATAGCGACGACGCGGCGGATTCAGCGAAAAGTTATGTTTTCAACGTCGATCCGTGCACTCCGTATATTATTAATTACGTTGACATTTTGCACCCGTTTCCCTTCGAAAATTTGAGACGCAGGCCTTACAATCTGTTTCCTCGTAGAGATTTATTGAACGACGATAGTACTGAATATTATTTCGGAAAAAAGTCTTCTCATTTTGAGACGATATTTAAAAAAGAAACCGATGTGGTCGATTTGCTCAATCAAACGCAAGAATTTAAAAATAGGCCGGTAGACTCTTTTGGTAATGAACCGCGAGAAATGGATAGTAATATTGTAGAGTTTTCGAATAAAGAAGAAAATAGGAACGGGCCTTCGTCAGATACGAAAGATCCACTCGTCGATGGAAAAATTAACAAACAAATAAAAAATTGTTGTCGAATAAGATCGCGTACTCCGGAGCACAAGCTTCGGGAAAGGGATCCAATTAAATCGAATCTCGGTGTTCGCCATAAATCTCGTAGTCCGACGCCATTATTTTCTCGGAAAAAGAACGAAACGAAAACTACTGTTTCTCCAACACGGCCGATAGTCCAAGTCGATAGTGCCAAACAAACTATTAAGAAATTAGGTTGTAACGACGAGAAAAAGAAGTTGAAGGTGTCTTTGAAACACGAAAATGTATTGCATGGAACTTCGAAGAAAAGACTGAATCCGTTGGATTGGTCAAAAAACAAAAAATCATCGTCATTATCTATGAATCAAGCGCTCAAAAGAAAGGACAATTGCAACAAAAATTTATTAAAATGTTATCGAAATGCTCGTTATGATAATAATAAAAACAATCTCCCCGTTGTAAGCGAAATACGGTCGAATCTTGATACTCTGAACGATAAACACAAATCTCACTCGACGACCAACGTGTGGAAAGAGAATTGCACTTTGTCTGGAACGCGGACGAAGAAGAAGCAGTTTCAAATAAAATATCCATCGAGAAAGATTGAATGCGAACCGAAAAGTTCTATCGAAAGAATAGACAGCGTGTTTTGGACGTTGTGCGACTCGAAACCTTTCATTCCACTGACTCAAGAAACTCTGCGTCAGTTGAGACAAGTGTACAACACGGAGAATCAAGCAAATTCGTCTTTCGCTTTGAACAGATCGGAGAAACTGAAACGAATGAAAGTCTACGATAAAAAGAGGAAGCGAACTTCTGAATTTCTGAAGAAGGTCGTTTCTCGCGGGACTATGCCGAATCTCTTGCAGGAAGATTTCGCGTATCTATCGAACGTTTTTACGAATTTCATGGATGACAGTCAGGTTCAGTGTGCAATCCTGCCCTACGGGGTAAACACGAAAGACGAATCGACTTTCGTAACGAATAACATCGTGAAGGATATCACGAATTGGACAGACAAGAACGCGAACGTCGAGAGTCTTTTATCCGTCCTGATGTCTTTCGAATCCTTGGATTCAGCGATAATGTCACGAGCACGAAAAACAAACAGTCAGAAATTAAAGAATCGCTCGAGCATCAAAAAGTTGAATTACGGTTTGATCGCGAAAAGCATCGAATCATCCTATTTCAGCACGAACGTCGTTCTGGATATTTCGCAACATGTGCGCTCAGATTTTACTGTTCGTTCGTTAGGCGATCGGAATACCGATAAGAACGTTAAGTGTATCGATTTCGACGAGTGTATAACACTGAAAAGGGAACATAGCGCGACTCGTTGCCTGGAAAACACAAAGTACACGCAGCCTTTCCCGAATGACGAGACTTCCCCTGGAAAAGTGAGACATGCCTGCGTATTTGTAAAATCGAATCGAACGCTTTGTCGATTATTGTTGTATTTGTACATGTACGGTGTGTTCAGTCTATTTTTAATACTCCTGAAGGTCGGTTCGTGCAAAAACTGCTTCCTGGACCCGCGAGTCTTGTACAATTATTAAACTTTTTACGAATCGACTGCGATCCCATGTACATCATTTTGCATTTGTGGAATAAAAGTGTCCTCGGAGTATCTTCCTACCTCCATTGTCCCTTTTCATTCTTGTCAAAGCACTGACAAAGAAAACCTAGTGTGAAGAAGAAAGAAATTTGTCGATAATAGAAGTACGACAGAAGCTAGCTTGAAGAGAATTACAACCTTTCCTTAAGTACGTTTTCCTTTTTAATTAACCTATTATTTTCCATTTGTCGATCTCCTTAGTATCGTTTTGTCTATGTTTCAAGAACGACTGTTCACCATTTTTCGTCAATGACATTATTAAAATAGATCGTCTACTGTATTTTATACAGTGTTATACAGTATTAAATACTGTAGAGTATTACAGTTATAATGTTTGTACAGTATTAAATACTGTATAAAAACCTTCTGTTCCAAATTTTGTATTTCTCTTTTTTTTACTCTTTCTTATTAGCGTATTCGAATTGTTCGTATCAATTTTCAATATTTACACACACACACACACACACACACACAAACATCAACGAAAATCGTTTATGGAAATATTTTTATAACTGCAAGGCACGCATGGCAAATAAATTTCAATAATAATCTTAAAGCATTGTTTACTTCACATAATTTATATTTATTTATACATTATTGCTTATGGAATTCTTAGCATAAAAAGGAGAAATTGCATTTAACTTGTAATACTGATTTTTTCGTTTCTATGCTTAACTGTGTTTTGTCATACACTTTCATATATTCGTTATTGCTAACAAACTTTGACGTATTCTGGCAAACTTAATCAACTTCGATTACCAGTATGTCAAAATGTTGTTTTAGCTAAAGGACAAAGATAGGATCTAATCGTAAGAATTGGTGAACAGTCGCTCACTTCCGTGTCCTTCGAGAATTAATCCAATCGGGTGTCGCGATCTTGAACGAGCCAAGTAGAATTTGTATTCGTTCTTTTTTCTTTTTTCTTTTTTAAGACCGTGCCAGAGAAGAAATCGGTCGTCGCTGGAGCACAGAACGGCAGCACGACAAAGCGTCGCGTCACGCCCATCCACAAACCAAAATCTACGGCCAACAGCGAGGCTAACAAGAAGGCGAGAGAGGCGAGAGAACAGGCTCGAAGGCAGCTGATCGAGGAACGGAGGCGCGCGATGCGCTCTAACGCGCAAAATTCCGAGAATACCGTAAAGATCTTTGCCCCTGACACGTAACGATAAAAAGGGCCGGTAAATCTCGAGCGATCGGCGACGCTCTGTCTCGAGCCGGATAAAAAACGCGGTATTTTTTATGGATTGTCTTGTACGCTCGAATTTCGAGGCATCGGACGCGCGGTTCTCGAAGCTTTTCGAAACGTCGTTCACGTCGCGCGCTTAAAGGTATTTACCGAATCGACGGTGTTGTAATTCTCCGACGAATAGTATTATGAGAGGACGTGCGATCACGTCCGCCAGTTAGAGCGTTTCGTTGCGTAAAGTGCTGAAAATTATGCGTCAGAACATTACATAGGAAGCTGACTTACAAACAATTATCGATGTGCTTCGACTACAATCAGACGCGCTTCTCGACGATGATAGAATCGAGCGTTTCGCCTATAGTGGGGCACCACAATTTTATCGAACACGGTATACGATGTGTTCTGCTAGAAATCAGGGCAATTTTATTATTTGTTTTCAGTCTTCGGGATCACAAGTATTTTTTGCGCAAAAACAAGTATTTTCTTCTTTTATTAACGTTAAATTAATCTTAACCATTTTTTGTCCACAGTGTATTTAGCATTTACATTTCTAATGGGACACCTCGTATATGCGACAGATATCGAATTGACGTTATCACGAATTTTTAGGGATTGTCTTTACAGTTTGGAATAATTTCTATTTTATTACGGTGTTCTCGACTCACGCTCCACACACCTTCGTTCTCCTTCGATTTTCACGCTGTGATGTTTCGTGTTAATCTTGTTACGTTTTAATATCGATTTACGGTACCGTTCGATTTTGTACGATATTTATAATGTTCATTTCATGGAACGGAATAGCACAGTAACGTTGAACACTCTTCGACTCTCTGTTTCGTGGTTTCCTTCGTGTAGTGTATCGTGTCACGAGAATGGTTCGCGGTTGTTCGTGAACGACCAGCGAAAGGGACGTAGCAAAAAAGTTGAATTATCAAAGAGAATCGTAGACTCTAAATCGTAATAGTGAAAAGCATGGAAATCGGCGCGTGTTCAGACACATCGAGTTATTAATTAGATGGCCGCGTCTTATTTGGTTCGACAAACTCTAATTCAATGAAGAATCATCCATCACTGTGGTTTAAAAATAGCTACATATAAATATGAACGATTCGATCATGCATTGTTTGAGCAAGCCCTCACCAGTAAAATACATAGAATAAATATCAATTAAATAAGAAGAATTTTAAGATTAACTTAACAAGTAACAGTTTTAACTACAGTGACGGTTAACAATCATTGAATTACAGTTTGTTGAATCAAACAAGACGCGGCCATCTAATTAATAACTTATTGTGTTCGAGCACGCGCTGAGTTTCTTACTCGACGTATTGGTGTTTACGTGCTGATGTGATTTCGATTCCGTGCGTGTTGAAAAAAAAAAAGTTTTCGACACGTCGTTTCGTTCCGCAAGTTCGCGGAAACACGCGCAGCAGCCCGCGTTATTTATTGACTGTTGATTCCCTTGGTGCCTTGATTAATTTATACGTGTGTACATAAAACGACTGACAGCCGGCGATCAGGCGCGACAAGGCGTCCATTATCGTCGTAATTGAGAATAATGATGATTCATGTTGAATGATCTTTGCAGCATTTATTATGTCTTAAACATGTCCCTCTTTAGAAATAATTATAGAATTTAAAATCAGAAAAATTTAGGCGCCTGACGGCGGGTACAATACACGTTCTGGACAGCAACATTTGTGGTTAATGACTACAAATTTTATGGAAAGTAAAATTAACCGGAAATAGAGTATTAGAATATGGTAAAAACCAACATGCCTTAAAATAGCACGGGTTTAAAATAATAATATAATAATTTTATCACCTCTGTTTAGCACTACCTATCTTTCTTCTATCTACAAGCTATTTTAAGTCACGATACTATATAAATAATTTTGACAAGAATAAAGATTAAAATTTTCCAATAGTTAATTCGATTGTCTACATAATTTTGTCTTCGTCGCTGAAATTGCTGTCCGAAATCGTTATTTATTTCAAACGATTGTATACTTAATTTCATACATTTTTAATTACTATCAAATTATCGCGACTTTGAATTCTAGAATAATTTTTTAGAGAGAGCATCGTGGTTAAAAATGTTCGCAGAACAAAAAGTGCTCAAAGGCTACTCGACGTGAATTATTTTTATTTATTGACGAGCATTTTGTTATCTAATGATAAATGAGAATGGAACAGAGAGGCGCGTGGCACTTACGAATTTTTGTCACGAATCAGATCGATGGATTTCATTCTGTCGGAGGAAGGAAACGTTGCTTTTTGTTCTCATTTATTCGCTGCACCTAAAAATTCGGCGACGATCAAAATGATTAGAATTATTCGTAACGAGTCGATCCGTAGCGAAATTTTTATATTACTATCTCCCGAGCAGATAGCGATTGATTCTTTCTTTTATAATGCAGCGAGCGTGTGCCGCGAGCGACTGCACATAAGCGCGAGAGGAAATAAATGTGTGTGGCTGGAGGAAACGAGCGGATTGGAGGCAAGAAATCCGTATAATTTACAGAAATCGGATATATGTGCATAATGGCCGCCGGCCCAGCACCAAGTCCCGCGATTCATTTCGTCCTCTTTCCCTCCTCGTCTAAGTTGTCTCCTTTCTCTTTCGATGTATTTTACGTGTATATTCCGTATTTAGGGCGTCGCCTCGATCCACGTAGTAATTTATATTCAGAACAGTTTCCCCGTTGCTTTTTTCGTAGAGCTCATACGCCGCCGAACTTTTCAACGGATCAATCCAAAGTGTGTACGAGGAGAATCGCCGTGACATGATCACAGTTTTTTCTTCTTCTTATTTTAACGTTCTTCTCTTTCGCTTCTTTACAGCGAAAGTCTACTCTATTTCGCAGGAACAAAGCTTTTCGGAAACTACAAGAATCGCAAATTTTTTTAATTGTCATTCGAGAACGTTCCGATGGTTGATCAACCCTATCGACCATCCAACGTTCCCCCTTTTTTTTTACGCGGATAAACAATTACGATTATTTATTTATTAGATACTAGTAAGCTGTCCATACACTTGTTCTCAATGAATTAATAAAAAAAAAATAAAAAACTAGTTATGTGATGCTTATTGACGAAGGACAAGAAGACAAGATTTTCTCGTACCGCCCACGTTTTATTTCCTCTTTATACACAATATTATCCTTTCTTTATCGTACCTTATTTCCTACGAATATCTGCTTCGTGTACGTCTTTTTATAAAACGGACTATAAAAATCAGCGGGTAGTAAGGTATCAAAACTGTACGTCTTTAACGCGCCTTGCGAAAAACTTATTGGTACAGAAAAATTCGTTCCGGCGATAAGTACTCGCTGGAGAGCAAACGTCTAATGATTCTCTAACAAGTCATCGGATTCGGACATGCTCGGTCGAATTTGGTCTCATGACGAATTTCCTTCTTTCCTATTCAAGGGGGAAGAAGGAAATTTTCGTACTTCTCGAACTCTCGAATCTTTTCGTTCTCCGTTGCTTCGCGAACCAAAGGAGGACGTATCGGTAGCACCGACGAAATTACGTTCACCCGTTTAACTGGTTTCACGCGAGACAGATCAAAGTCTTGCCTTCGTTCATTTTATCCTGAACTTTGTCGCTCGCTGTAGACTTTTCCGCTTGGCCGCTGATTACCGCGCAAACGAAGGTAAGCCCAACCCCTATCATGGCGCTGTAGAAGGCCCAACCTGGAAACGTTACAGGAGGTTGTGTCTTTAAATTAAAATTATTACAATATCAGGCTTCATTTTATTCCCTCCCCTTAAACAACAAGTTCGTTTACCAAGGGTGCAGTCAGCGAGGTAGAAAGCGTCCGCTTCGGGGCCACAAATCCTTTGAACCCTCTCCGCCCCCCAGCCAGCGGGATACAAAATCATTCCAAGCAGATAGGATATTCCTGGGAACGAGAAAAGAGAATTATCACTGAAAAATCGAAATCGTTACGAAATTCAAAATGGACGTTGCAACATTACCAGCAACGACTTGCGCGACCCCAGCCAAATTGAAGATACTCTTCCTACCGATGCTCTGCACACAGCAGCCGATCAGAGCCGCCAGTACCGTCGTGGCCATGATCGCCAGACCGAGTAACAGGAAGAAGTAAGAAGCTTTCCAGCAACCTGGAAAGACACTGGAGTCCGTGGCGAACCCGTCGACGTTGAAATTGCCACAATGCGTCTTTCCATGCAATCTGATGCAGCGATTGAAGATGCCCACCGTCGGGACGTACAACTCCGACCCATTTACTGACATTTAAGAAGAATTGTAAGAGGTTTGCAAGAATGTTTGCAATATCTTTAACTAACATAACTTTTTGTTTTAGACGCGGATCGTGGTCGGAGTCTACAGAGCAAGCAATACTGCCAAGAATGTAGATCACAAAATATCACAACAGTAGGTACTGGTCATTAATATTTAAATCTTCGTTACAAATACTGATCATCGGAGTATCCCTAGTTTGCACAGAAGTGAATAATGATCGTCTGCCAATCGGATAACAGTGCTGTCCGTAGGTATTAAGGGAAAGAGAATAATTACTTGTATCTTTAATCGTGTGCGGACCAACGAGCCATTTTGGAGTGATGAGGCCTGATAAAACTGCCATTAACGCCACCAAGGACAGCAGCGTCCACAGCAAGCTACGACCAGTGACTATCACATAGCACATGCTGCCGGTCGGATGTTGGATCTATGCCATCCTTTGGGCTCAGAGTTCCCCCTGAAACATTTGAAATTTATTTATTAGAATTGGTCCTATTTTTACACGCGGTTTTTAATCAATTTACGATGCGCGTAAGTTCTAAACAAACTTCCATTAGTCGCAACTATAATACTGTCACAACATTGCTACGAATTCTACATCACTGGATACCATAAAAATACTGCGACCCTATACAACTTATGTTGATTTTCTCTGTTGAAAATCACTATTTTTAATGTGCAAATTGACGAAAATCGTATAAAATCATTTTCCATGTTAACCATTTTTTCATCAGCAACTCCACGAAGTTAAAAAAATACAGTGCCATTTAAAACAATTCACGTTTTATAATTGCATATATATGTACTTACATTGCTTTTTCATTTCCTACATTTTGTTTCAGATTTATCCTTTCTGTATACACCGAAGAATACCCAAAACCTGGGGTCACAAAGGTATTAATAAAATTGTGAATTATAATTATTTTATTAAGCAAATCGTCATCCTATTTTTAAATTTGTGCATATTTTTCTTCGTATGCAATTTAGTTAAAAATACACGAGAATTCATGGAGCGACTCGATATATTCGGTGTTGACCAGCATCGAGACGGTCCTTGAAATCCGTCGGCACCCCTTATCGCGATTTAGTTGACTCCAGAGGTCAACGATTCGGCAATCGAGCCGCGAGTTTCGAGCAACCGGGCAAGAATAAACGCCACTCACATATATTTCGAAGAAATGCGTAAAAGCGAAGTCGTAAGTTCGACCGTGTTGCGTACCTATCTCTCGCGGTTACCGGTTTCAATCTCTTATTCCGATTTCGTGGAAATCGTAAACACGAACCAACAAAGCCCCTTTTTCATCCTGATGCTCGTAAACCAAATGGCGTGCATTTCCGTGTCGATTCGAACCGTAGACGTCCGACCATCGATTAAGTTTTCGATTATAAACGTGACTCATGGTTCTAATTAGGACCATTCGGATCTGACTCGTCGCGTTTCAGCGTGTTTCAAGAGCCAAGGCCCCGGCGGATCGATCGAAAACTTCTAGCACACCTTCGAAACTGACCTATTTTTACTTCTAACTTTAGACCACGGTTTGAGATCTCTGGACGTGTCGGTAGGCGATGGCTCTTCCTTTTCGAACCCGCGTGTTCCTCGTCCCTCGCGGCCACCGAGATTTTTGATCCTCTTTAAACCCGCAAACTTAATCGCTTTTGTTCCTCCGCGCGAGACGAGCGATCACTCTTTGATGTTGCCGCGACGTAGCAAATCGGTAAACCACGATACGACGCAGTCTTCGAATGTAAAAAGGCCTCGTGGTTAGCTCGATTCGAGAGCCAACGTTCATAGTACAGTGGTTAACGAAAGTATTCGAACGATTTTTTACTTCTAACATATAAAATGTATACCTTAATCTGAAATGTTTAAAATAATTCAGTATTTATAGTAAGAGGGAAGTTCCAAGATTACGTTAATAAAATTAGAAAATAATCCAGTATTTATACCATACTTATTCGAAATACTTTGTAGTACCACCATTAACATTGATTACTTTTCTTGGACGACGTTCCGTACTATATACTAGCTTTGCGAAGCCAGTTTCAATAGAATTCCATATTTCTGTTATTTTATCCATTAACATTTATCTTGACGTTATTTGATATTTATTTAGTCTTTTTCCGATTTCTGTCTACAGGTTTTGTGGTGAAGTGTTCTTTGACGATCCAAGCTGTGTGTTTGAGATTATTATCCTGTCGGACGTAAAAGTCTTCCAGTGGTCCCAGTCTTCTAGCACTCACCTCTAAATTATATTTTAAAATCTCCATGTGTTATGGTTTATTTCAAATACTTTGCTCAGTAGTTCCTCGCCAATGCTCGCTACTTTCTTCCCTAATTAGAGTTTCAAAGGGGTTTGCATGAGAAACCTGGGTATCAGAATTTTCGATTCGCTAGGAAGTAGTAGAGTTAGGCGAGAGAAGAATAGGGATCTCGGGTGTCCTCGAAAAATGTTTCCACACCGCTCGTGAGCCTCTTCCTTGGCTCGCGGCATCGCGGAATGTGATATCTTTCCTCTTCGTCTTTCCTTGCGGACCCTGCACGAGAAGCTTCGACCATTAGTCATCCAGCAATGGGTCCTCTGTCCGGCAGCTCGTTATCAGAAAGGCGTAAGTCGACGGCCAGTGCGAACTCCACGCTCGTAAATTCAAATCACACGTTTCCGGCCAGCGGCGGTCAGCACTCTACGAGGCTCCTTTATTTTCGAGGAGCAAACACGATCTCGCTACTCCTGGCCGCCTGTGTCCTGTATTTCTTAATATCGCCGTGAAAAAATTTCTTTATCTTGGCACGTAGCGTTTCGAATGCTTCCCAATCTTATTCTTCCGAACAACTTTCTGTCGCACATGGAATTAATGGGCCCACTGTTACGATTACGAAGAAAGAGGTCGCGTGTTACCATGTTGGTTCGTGCTTATTTTTGGAATTCCCTCGCAGAGAACGTACACACGTTTTCACCCTCGTCGGGCGTGTATCTTTTTACGGCGTTGTATCTAATTAGCTCGTTTACTTTCGAGGTAATCGACAGGACACCACCAACGAAAAGGCGAAACAACCTTTGGTGTAATTTATTTTTACCAATATCATATAATTAAGTCGATTTGATAATGAAAGTCAATTTTACGGGATTCGCATTCCTTGTTCAAAGTTACAGAACTCATAGATATTATTTGTTATAATTCGATTAATGAAATAATGTATGTCTGTTCTAATTAAAAGAAAAACCACATTTTTGTATAATCATCCACACGATGAGTTTGAATAGAAATATGTTCAAGTGAAGCTAAAACCAGGAACCAGTCAGTGTCAGAAGATGACGATAGCGAAATAGAAGAAATTTTACAATTTCTAAACGAAGAAGAAGAAGAAGAAGATGAATAGACTCCGGATATTATAATCCTGCAAGCTAATATCGGGCGCCTTCAAAATTATCAAAGAGTGAGTACATACACTTAATATGATTCATTTAAATGATAACAATTGTCATGTTTTTGTTAAACATTTTCCTCTCACATGTATAAAACTCATATTTTGAATTTGGTATCTACTTGGATTCACAATCCAAGTCTTCAAAAAACAGATGAAATTAGAATTATTTTATTTCACTATACTGGGTCTACAATTTTAAATTTTACAATGTTTAAATCAAGTTTGAAATCAGCGTCTCCCAAAAACGATATAAACATTCCAATATAACCATAATCATTTTTCTTATTGATTTTGAAATTTTAATCCACTTATTGAATTTTGGTCAACTTAAGAGTGAAGAAAGCATTCGAGTACTCGTCGAAATCGACACGATGCGGAGGTATACATATGTATATTGTATTCGTGCCCGAAACAATCGGCGTTCGATGTCAGAAACGCGAGACCTACTCATTGCATAATCCCGCAGCGTCTATGCAGACCATCTGCAAGACAGCTGTTAGACAGGTGCTCCCTTATTTCTCCATCCTCTTGTTTTCGTCCCCTCTTTCCCTCGTAAGATTCTCCCAGGTTCGCCTTCTTCTCCGGCTTCTCTTCTTTCCCCTTTTTCTTTTACCTGCCCTCTTTACCCTCCCGTAGCGTACACATCGTCGATTTCATCCGACAGTAATTTATCGTGATTCCAGCCGATCGAACAACCTCGCGTCCACCACCCGATCGTGGCCGATTAAATATTTTGGAAAAACGATTCCGCGAACCCCTCCCCGCCTTCCTGGAACCGGTAGACCATACTTTGGCACATCCCGCTGCTATATAATTTAGCGATCTATCGCTTCGGAACGTTACTCGCTGGTGGGTGGAACAGGATTTCAGGATTTCAAGTGCTGTCGATTTTTATTTAACGCCATCGCCGCCATGGCTCTTCTCGTGACTTAGGTGTTTGAGGGGCGAAATTTGTTTTGAACGATAAATAATTGGACCAACGTATCGCCATTAGCAATATTTATACAATCTTTTATGAATTATTTCATTCTACGATTGAAATTTGTATCTGAATAAGAAGTTTGTCTATTTTTGTTTAATGTAAAATTGTGTTGGAAAAACTAATCCTAGAAATTGATTTCCTAAAATTTATATTCATATCTATATTAAAGAGAATATCTCTCTCGATAACCTGGTCCAATAATTGCATGAGAATTTCTATTTGACCGTTCGTCGTTATTATGAAAATTTGTAATCCTGTTTCTGGTAAATCCAGTCTCGTCTATGAAGAGTACGGTAAAAAGGAAATACGGGGTTGCAGTGCCATTTTGTCTGGAATCGTAAATACGGCTCAAACGTTTCGATAGACGATAACATTTTCATGAATATAAACATTCTATTACCTTTCCTAAATAATATGCAACCCTTGTCTCATAGATACATCTTTCGTTTAAAAGAAATTGATCTGATAAACATGGAAGTTAGTGACGGAGATGGGCAAACTGTTACTCAATTTTTACCGTTGCTTAATTTTTGTTGTGGAATACTTCATTTTAGAAATCGTATAAACAGTTATTTATCTTCTATTCGTTAGAGTAGAAGCAGTTTTATTGAAGAAACATTATAATTAACATTTTATACTCTTCTCGATGAACTCTATAAACGCCTACATCTTTGACCCTCTTTTTGTACCTTGCATATATCACATAACGCGGCGGATATGCTGAGAAATAACATCCCGAATGATTTGGATATCGTTTCTTTTTCGAATTCTTGCTTTTTTTGTCGGTGAGATAGCCGCGCTGAATTCGCTTTTATTCACGGACGGATTTACAGTTTCGTAGAACGATTCGCATTCCGAGAACAGCCACGCCTATCCGTCATGAATCTCTTTTGAAGGAGCTGCGGCATTCCATGTTAAACGTATTCTTTGCAAAAACCTCCAAGGTGTTCTGCGTATCGGAAAGTTTTCAATCTTCCCTCTAGACCAGCATATTCCCAAGTGGGAGAGCACGACGCCCAGAGGAGGCGTCTTGCCTTCCAAAGGAGTC